TGTTCCTCATATTTAAAGAATTACCTTAGCTATTAATTTCAACAGCATCTCTTATCTTCCTTTTAACCACAGAAAAGAGAAAGTAAGAAAGGAAGTAGTAAAGCTTCAGTTTTTGGATGGAATATCCTTTAATCATAAGGATTAGTCAAGGTCAAAGCTGTTATAATGGCGAAATGATAAGACATTCATAAGATAAATAGCAAAAAGCCTAAAATACCATCCAACCACTGGCTTCCTTTTAGTGTGAAGTTAAGGTCATATGATATTTTCGCCCAAGAGGTTACGGTGGAAATTATGCCTATATCAAACTCTTAGTAGATCTTGAATAAGCACTGGATTTTTCGTTTGTAAGAAGACTTCGAGACTACCAGTAGACCTCAGTCAAGAGCTATATTCACCCTATTTTGTTCATGATTATAAAGAATGGGTAGTTATATTTTCCAATATTGATATGGATAGGTCAACGTGCCGAGATTATACGCTGCACTATCCAGGTTCGAGTCCGGCTGGAGATGCTTGTGAAACCTAGGCAAGGCTGAAACTGCAGTCCATCTTGGATTAGAATACCTTCTGGGAAGCAAGGCAATGTGAAATCGAATGGAAACGTAATACCCATGTCAATGTGAGAAACTTCAACTATCAGTCCATCATCAGCTTAGACGAAATAGAGTGAATACAGCTTTTATACACAAACTTGAGTTTTGTTTGGCCGCGCTAATAATTAAACCGCCAATAATGAAATACATATTAGGCCTAATGATGCCTTTGAAGTTCACTCATTCACGTTGCATGTCACTTCCAGTCAGCATGTTATAATATTGTGGGAGACAAATCTAATGGAGGTCTTATACTTAATTAACTGAGAAAGCTTCAATTTTCTATGATATGGAGACCACAATGATAGGGCCCTCGGTATGGTCTCACTCTCCTTTCGATGCACATAACTTTATTCACCTCGTTTTCGCAACTTGGTTTTGTTGTCTTGCCATTCTCGGCACCAAGTTACAACTCGTCAAATCGTCACTTGATGTCTATCCCTTCACCAGCTTTCGGCCGAATCTGTTGTGCTATCAATTCTCTTTCTATCCTGTGCAATCTCTCGACTCCTTACCCTTTTGTTCCATTTCCGCCCTTTCACAACTTCTGACTTGCTTACATTCCACTCGTTGGGATAGGGCGGGAGTAGGATAAGGGGGTAAGGAGTAGATAGATGGGTCGTGATGGGTCGATTGCTATAACAACCGTTTTTAGGAAAAAGTTTGGTCAAGTATTTTACTTCACTTGTCTCTTTGAAGATTTATAACATGGTGCTGAGAATGACAGGACTAACTGATGATGCTGACTATTATACCGGCGAAATGTCTGACAATGTACCAAGTCCACGGTCTAACGCTGGGAATTATGGCAGAGGACTTCGGACAAGCTGAAACCGAACAAGTTACCCCGACAACAAGACCAAGTTGCGAAAACGAAGTCAGCCAACTTCAATTTCCTAGCCTTAACCCATCTTATGCGGCATAAAGTGTTTAGTGAATCTATTAACACTTGTGCTGGATGATTGCTTCTCTGCACCTGGCTCCATTCTGTGCTTTCATTCTGACGTTGTTTCAGTAAACCTGTTTTGCTTTTGTGACATGAGAGTATAGTAAAAAAGATAATATTCTTGTTGGAAATTCATGCAAATATACCTGATTATGGCTCTCAGTTGCGAGTTTGAGCCTGGTATTAAACTAGAAGTTTTGAAAAAATGAGTTTTAGCAGGAAGCTTCATCAGGCTTTTTCAGATAATACGAAAGTCACCAAAAGTATATTTATTTACACTATTCCATTTTCCATAGATCATTTAATGAGCCTTCTCATTTCCCTTTTTAACATAGTTTGACTACACAATTTCTGACGACCAGTTGGCCTTTTTGAAGTCTCTTAGTTCGAAGGCGTCTCAACAAGTACGTGTCAACTGTAAACAGAGAGAAGATGAGACGGAACCAAATTCGGCCTTACCGGGTGCAAAAGCTTCTTCAATGGGCCCCGACCTGATCGCACTTCTGGCAGACGATGACACCATTCTTGATCAGCATCATCCAAAGAGAAGATTCAAGGTTCCCGAGACTCGATGCTTGAGCCAGGTATGTCTTCATTTAGTGCTGACTGTATCGGTTATCGCATGAGTTACATCACATTTCCCAGCAGGTGATATGAATCTAATGGTTAGCAGACTGGCTAGTCTCTTGACCCAGATTGGCTGTAAAACCCAATAAAAGGGTAGCTTTTCCTGTACCACTCTTACGATAAAACTTCCTTGTCTCTATGGATTCAAAGATCTTGGGTCAGATTATCAATTTTTCCAAACTGCCATTTTGTTACGTTTCAAGGCCAGTTCCTCAGTGACTGTTGCATTCCGCATTCACCAAAGACTTTCTTTTCTTTTCTCTTCTATCCTGAGCTAGTTAATCTTTGATAATTAGGAAAAATAATGATGGTCGTCTTTACTTATACAGAATTGTACCTAATGATTGGCCTGGCTCTGAAGACCATGTTTGTCTTGTTACTCCACTAGTCTAAACCCGAGGTATCATAGCCAGTTTATAAATATGCAAGTTCGATAGAGGCTGGGTTTCTGAGACCTTATCGGCTTTATTTTCTGGAATAAGAAGGTCTTTGGGGTGGATAGGTCATGGTAGTAATAGTAATAGCTATGGAAGTG